GAAATTTCGCTTCGTCGTAAGGTAAGAGAATGCATTCTCGGTTAAGATAACATGATCAATGAGCAATAATTTATGTATATGAAAGCGCGACGTGAAATGATCGCAGTAGAAGACGTTTGGCTCCTGCCCCGATGATTTTGAAAAACCATGAGACAAAAATACTTACAACATAGTATTTGAATAGAACAACATAATCTATAGCACAATAAGGGCGCAACCCGTTAGTTAATATGGAACAAGAAGGGAAATTAAAGTAAAAACAACATAAATGTCTAGCGCATACGGAGTTAAATGGAAACGAGAAGTTAAGAAAGCTCAAACTCCTAATTTTAAGAACACGATTTTTTATAATATACATGACCTACAACTGCGGAACTTGACGAACTAATACACCGCCTTGGATGAAAACATTACGCCTGGCCAGCTAGTCGTAAGCCGCAATGTTTACCATCAACTATAGACAACGAATGTGCCTTTTCCTTCGGAATTGTTGTCATAGGAGCTTTGTTGAAAGGAAGAGCTGCGAATACTACAGGTAATACGATAAGACCGTGGCACATACCAAGGAAGACGACGAGCACCACTACCTAGAACATGTATGCAAATAAGAAAAGCTACAGATGGCCTGAAAGAAGAACCATGCAGCTTTTTTCAATAATGTTCGCGAAAAATTTTCTTTGAGGGAGCGCGTTTGAAAGTTGACCAAAAAGGTAGTATGGCATAAGCATAGCTAGGTCACTTTCCCTTTTTGTTTGTCAAGTTATTTTTTTTCTCCGCAGTTTTCAAAAGTTCTACGAATGGATTGTTTATCAACATATATATATAGTCATTTTCTTCATTTATTCAAACTTGTACCCCATTTTCAAATTTTGTAATTTTTCGCAATCTCGGAGTAAAAGAGGGCACACAATTCCTTTCTCTCCGTTCGGCAGTTTATAAATTAAATAAAAGACATACCTTAACAAATACTTTCACCATGTAGGCGTGAACTGCAGTAAGCACAACAATGGAAATCATAGTGGACGTGCCTGACTGGAACATTGGCCAAGCGATGGAAGCCAAAGCGTGGCGAATACGTTCCCGCTTGTTCTGTTATTATGATATTAAGAAACGAACAAATGGAAAGTAGCTTGATAGGTCCACAGAGGGAATATTTACCGGAAAATCGCCTTTGTAATAGTGCCAAGTGATGTGAGCAACAAAGTCCACTGAGAATCCAATAGCCATAAGTAGAGTTGTCATTGAGATGGGATCAAGATCGATGTCCAAATACACAAGACAGCCGAATACACCTAAATTAATATCGATGAATTTATAATTTGTGGAGATTCCGGTGGCCATCATAATAACGAACAGCAAAGCCGCTTTTTGCTTGAATTTCTTTCTGCAGTTACACAGGTTCTGTTATCCACATAATAACTACAATACCGCTCATAACTTTTGCAAAAGAAACGTGATTTCACATAAAAATCCGTCGCAAGCGTCGC